GCTGGTTGATTCTGATGTGCTGTCAGGTGGAGACATCGCCAGGCCAGCTGACCCCCGAAGCGCATCAACATCAAGAATACATGAATGCCCTAGTCAGGAAAGCAAATTATCTGTTTGTAAGCTTTGAGTATTGCTCAGTCTCGTTTACCTCAATGAAAGCAGAATTATTGGAGGCTTGGAAGCACGTCATAGCAGTTCCAAGCTGCTCAGAGAACTATGCTGAAGGGCCTTGAGATGACCTCAGCGTCTGGGGGCCTGGCCCCTTACACAAGCTGCCTTTGGTTTCCTTCATGCTGGAGACAGATGATGTAGAGGCAGTTTGTTTCTTTTTCGAGTCTAGAGTTACATCACAGGCCTGTATAATTTTTCTTATAAGGTGTCTTTCCAAAGCAGCCATCCTCAAAGGAGCTGGTAGAGTTTTCCCAGGGGCAACAGCAAAGTTGAAGCAGAAGGGGAACACTGTTCTAAATCCTTCAAGAAATGTTATCTTTGGAGCAGTCAAACCACTCTCTTTCTCATGAGAGTGACAAGCACTCCACGGCAGCCGTTTCTGGACAGTGGGGCCAGGTGGGAGAGGTATTCGATCTGCTGGGGCTCAGCCAAGTGAAGCGAGGGCCGCCCTCCCTCCTGCCCCGGTTCCCTGAGGTTCGACAGTGGTGGAACTGCACCGACCCACTTAGCACGGTCTCAAAGGCTCCTGGACATTTACAGGTGCTGTCTTACTTTGGGTACGATACAGCAGGTGTTTCAGGGGTTTCCTCTACCAGAAAGAAAGTTTCCCTTTCTTTTATTTTTATCTTATTGTCTTTTACTTTTATTTCTACCAAACCTGTGGAACTTGGGGCTTAAGACTCAGGGAAGCTTGGAAGGATTAGGGTCAAAAGAACTTTGCCATTTGGCCAGTAGCATCCTCCATCCTAAAGTAGCCATTCTTTTCTCCCCCCCCCCACACACACAATTTTTCTTTCTTCTTTCACTCTCTCCTTTCCCCCCTCCGTCCCCTCCCTCTCAACATATTCAAAGAGTGCCCTAAACGGTGACAAACTTGCATGTGCTTCCCTTATGACTAAAGCCCTGGGCCTCCTGCCAGTCCCCCACAGATGGCCCCAAACTTCAGGCATCCCGTTAGGAGAGCCCCACGTTTGCAGCCCTACTTGGAACGGTCATGCTGCAGGAGGGTGGTGGGGAGTGGCGGTGTCTTCGTCCTAGGGGAAGGCGAAGCAACTTCCAGGAGGAAACGGGCGTTTCCTTCCCACGCGCACAAGCGAGCCCTGGGTCTCGGCCCCGGGACTCCA